TGCCCCCGATTCTCCCATCACACCCTCCCCTCTGCCCTTCACCCTGGGGTCCCTTTCCCCCCCAAGGATCTCCGTGTGCCCCCTCCCCACACCCCTCACCGGCTCCGGCTCTGCCACAACCTCAACCTTTATTCCAGGGCTGGGGGTTGTTCCCCACGCCCCCAAACGCAACCGCTGGGGGTTCCCAGGGTCGAGTTTCCCCCCCTGCCCCCCTCAGTGCCCCTGGGGGGGTTTCTGGGCGTGGGCGAAGAACACCCCGTGCACATCATCCACGCCGGTGCGCAGGGCCGGGGGCATCTCGTAGCTGCGCAGCTCCCGCAGCTCCAGCCCCGCTCCCGCCAGCGCCGCCCGCACGTCGGCCAAGGCCAGCGGCACCACGGGCAGCCGAGCCGGCCCCGCCAGGTAGAAGGACTCGCCCAGGGCCCCCAGGAGCAGCGCGTGGCCCCCCGGGCGCAGCAGGGACCCCACGTGCAGCAGCGCCCGGGCGAAGGCGGCGCGGTCGGGGCTCACGGCCTCCAGGCAGAAGGCCGAGAGCAGAGCGTCGGCCGGAGGGTCCAGGGGGGCCCCCAGCGGGTCCGGGCGGTGCACGTCGATGGGCAGGATCCGGCGGAGGCGATCCCGCAGCCGGCGCTGCTTGTCCTGCCACGGCTCCCTGAGGGGGGGGGGGATGGGGGGAAGGGGGGGGGGGGGATAAAGGGGCACAGGGATGTGGGAATGGGATCGACCCAGAACCCACTGGGATGTGGGGATGGGATCAATCCAGAAGCCACAGGGATATGGGGATGGGATCAACCCAGAACCCACAGGGATGTGGGGATGGGATCCTGCAGGGATGTGGGAAGGGAATGAACCCAGCACACACAGGGATGTGGAGATGGGATGAACCCAGAACCCACCAGGATATGGGGATGGGATCAACCCAGAACCCACTGGGATGTGGGGATGGGATGAACCCAGCACACACAGGGATGTGGGGATGGGATGAACCCAGAACCCACAGGGATGTGGGGATGGGATGAACCCAGAACCCACCAGGATGTGGGGATGGGATCAATCCAGAAACCACAGGGTTATGGGGATGGGATCAATCCAGAACCCACCAGGATGTGTGGGTGGGATCCTGCAGGGATGTGGGAAGGGAATGAACCCAGCACACACCGGGATGTGGGGATGGGATCAACCCAGAACCCACCAGGATGGGGGGGTGGGATCCTACAGGGATGAGAATGGAATGAACCCAGCACACACAGGGATGTGAGGATGGGATGAACCCAGAACCCACAGGGATGTAGGGATGGGATGAACCCAGCACACACAGGGATGTAGGGATGGGATCAATCCAACACACAGGGATGTGGGGATGTGGTCAACTCAGAACCCACAGGAATGTGGGGACAGGATCCTGCAGGGATGTGGGAGTGGGATCGTGCAAGGATGTGGGGGTAGGATCAGTCCAGAACCCCCGGGGACCTGGGAACAGGATCTTGCAGGGGTGAACCCAGCACCCAAAGGGACACAGGGACAGGATCCCCTGGGGATGAACCCAGCAGCCAAGTGGTGGGAGGGGATTGGGTGGGGATTGATCAGGAACACACAGGATTGTGGGGACAGAATCTTGCAGGGATCACCCCAGCATTCACAGGGGTCGGAGGGGGCTGTGATCCCCTGGGATTTGGGGACATGATTCCTTAGGGATCATCCCAGTATCTGCAGGAGCACAGGGCCGTGATCTCATGGGATTTGGGGACAGAATCCCACAGGGATCACCCCGGTGCCTACAGGGATGTGGGGCTGTGATCTCAGGGGCCTTGAGCACACGATCCTGCAGGGGCCACCCCAGCACCACCCCTGTCGTCCTGCAGCCCCCCACAACCTCTCCCACCTCCCACCCGTGCCCCCCGTGCCCCCCTACCCGCGGCCCTCGATCTTGCAGACGTGCTGGATGAAGGGGCTCCAGTCGAAGGCTCCGGGGTCCCCCCGCACCCACCGGCCCAGCTCCTCCCTGTTCACTGCCAGGTAGTCGGTGGCCACGATCTCCTCGAAGTGGTCGCAGGCGCTCAGCAGTTGGTAGATGGTGGGGCCCGAGCCCACATCGATCAGGGTCTGGCCCCGGATCTCACCTGGGAGGGGGGGGGGGACAGGACATGGAGGAGGGGGGTCCCACACCCACCTGGGGCACCGGGAAAACCCGGGCGGGTGATGGGAGCTGCCCCCAGGGTGGGGGGTGAGCACGGCGGGCACCGAGGATGCCCCGTGCCTCGGTTTCCCTGCCCCGTGCCTCAGTTTCCCCACCCCGCTACGGGGCTTTCGGGGGGTCCCCGAGCCCCCTCTCACCGCTGGCGAAGGTGTCGGCGAGGCATCGCAGCTTCCAGGGCACCACGAACTCCTCGGAGGAGAAGTCGGCGCGGGGGGGGAGGTAGTTGTTGCGCAGGTACGCGCGGGGGTCGAAGCGCTCGTAGCCCTCACGGAGCTCGGCCAGGCTGCTCATGGCGGGGGAGGGGGGGGGAAATGCGGCTCCCGCGCCCGGGAATCGCCTTTTATCCCTGTCCGGGCCCGGGGGGGGCGGCGGGGAGCCGTGACGGCCCCATCCATCCAGCCCCCCGTCCCTCCATCCATCATCCATCCCGGCTCGCAGCCCGTCCATCCATCCCCGATAACTGGGTTAGCGCCGGAGCCCCGGAGCCATCCCGGAGCTGATAACGCTCCCGCTGCCCTTCCCGGGCTGAGGGATCCAGGAATCCTGTCCCAGTTCCTGTGTCTGGGAGACTGTGACCAGCCCTGCGCTGCCCCAGCTCATGAGTGTCCCATGGGATGGGAATGGGGAGGAAATGGGTTGGGGATAAGAATGGAAAGGGTTTGGGATGGGGGGAGAAACGTGACGGAGACTGGGAAGGGGATGGGAATGGTGTGGGATAGGGATGGGAATGTGGAAGGATTGGGGTGGAATAGGATGGGAGATAAGGGTGGGAAGGGTTTGGAATGGTATGGGGATCAGGGTGGGGGAAATGGAATAGGGATTGGAATGGGGATAGGAAGGGATTGGAAAGGGATGGGGATGGAAAAGGGATGATGGAGATGCAAAAGGGATGATGGGGATGCAAAAGGGATGATGGGGATGGAAAAGGGATTGAAATGAAGTAGGGCTTGGGGTGGGAAGGGATTGGG